TTTGATTACCCCATTGGCAGATTATTTTGCTTGTTTTAAGAAAAAACTAACTTAATATTGGCATATTATTGCTGAAAACAAGACAATAAGTTTTGCTTGTCTTAATTATTATTATTTTTTTTGATTTAAGAATTGTGAGATATTTAGACAAGAAACAAGACAAAAAATCTAAGTAAGAAAAGCATTTTTGCAGTGCAACTGAGCCTGGTTTCTCTCGAGGTTTTTTAATTCTTCACTTTCGCCAATTGGTGAAGTTTTTTCCTCGCCGCTGGCTTGGATGGTTCGGGATCCTTAGAGCTGCGCATTGATGGATTTGCTCTTCAGTGTTTGGACTCTCAGAAGTGACTATTAACCACACTGAACTGAGCTAAACTGAACTTAAACACTGAAAACTGAACTGACACTGTTTCAGTTTAGTATAATCTTCTATCTGAAGCTGCTGTGATACAATTTACATTGTAAAAGTGCTATACAAAGAAAGGTGAATAAAATTGAATATTGACTTCAAATACTGACATTTATTCGTCAGGTATGGCAACCGAAATCCAACGTCTGATATTTGGTTGATTTAAGGTTGTTTGAAAGTGACCAAAATACAACGTCGAGCCACCATCTTAAACCAACGTCATATTGACATTAAATACTGAAATTTATTCGTCAGGTATGGCAACCAAAGTCCAGTGTCTGATTGATGTCATAGTGGTAACGTTCACACAACGTCAAGCTGTAACTTTATTGGACGTTGGGATGTTGGGTTTGGACATTGCGTCAGCCTGACGTCGGGTTCTGATGTCAACCCGGTTTTCATTTTCAAACAAAATGCAACGTCCCCAAGACATGTACAACGTCAATCTGACGTCATGTTGACGTCCTGTGTCTGCTGGGTGTTTAAGGCCATTTCGGTCTTCATACAGTAAACATATGTCATCTTCTCATCAGTGACATGCATCTAAACAGTCTCTGGGTCAATGCATGTCAAGACGTCATATTGGTAACGTCCACACAATGTCAAGCTGTAACATCATTAGACGTTGATAATTTGTTGTTTTTAGGTTGCCTTGTAAAGTAACCAAAATGTAATGACATTAGACATTAACGTCAGTCTGATATTGGGTTCTAACGTCAACCCGATTTACATTTCCAAACAAAATGAAACGTCCCACAACATTGAGGTACAACATCAATCTGACATCATGTTGATGTCCTGTGCCTGCTGGGATGTATAAAAAAATCTAGCATAAATATAAGAACATATGGTTACGTAACAATTCCAATAGTTGCATTTTTGCATTATTTTTAAAGCGGTGGTCAACTACGATATCATATTTAAACTGATGTGTAATGTAGCTGTGTGAATATAAACAACATCTCTGAATGTAAGGCGATCAAAGTTCAATGCAAAGGGCCACACTGGCTTTTACAGAGTTACCTTAGCAAAGCCTACAGCGAACGAAGTTTGGGGACAACAAAAAAACACATCCGGGTTAATGATGTTATAAACCCTTCAGGTTACACACATACACCCTGCGCAGTGAAGAGGCGTGGCGAGAGGAATTGTAATGTTATAAACGCTGATTGGTGATGTGGAGCTTATCTGCGAATCACAGAACATTATGTTAGCTGACCAATCAGAGCCTCTTGAGGGCAGGTCTTTAGAGGAACTAGGAAATATGACAGCTGTTTTCATGTAAACTGAGTAGCTGTATATAATCAAAGAAAGATTTATGAAAAAATAATGTGATTTTCTACAAATAAAGCATGAGCACATATTGCTTTGCATCTTATAAACACAACCAGGCCTTAAAAATACACTCTGGACCACCCCTTTAAAATAAAGTTGCATAAATGACATACATTTTATACATGTTAAACATAAAAATAAACTTGTATGTCATATATGTAATTTGCATATATTGCCATATATAAGATTTCTGTACTTCAGTTTACCGCCCTATTCTATCTTGTAAACAAACAAGCCATAAAATCAGAAATAGTAGGAATATGTTGCAGTTTCACACACCCAAATCCTGCTGCACTCGTCTGGGAATGCCAGTGATGGTTTTCCGTCTCCTGAGCTTCCTCCGCCGCTGAAGCACGGACTGCGAATGCACTAGCGAGCAGCGTACACTGGCCTCTCTGTCGAACCCAACCCCTGCAAAGAGCACCAGACATGTGAGAGGCTGTTGGGTGCGAGCCACTTTTTCTTCTTCTCCCTCCCATGTTTCTCACACTCATAAACCACTGGGGCTTTTTCATGCCAAATGCAATGCTGCAGCCACAATAAAACACATTTAAATCAATTAATCTTATATTAGTTTCTTTTAAAAGAAATTCTTAAAGGGATATTTGATCCAAATATGAAAATTCTGCAACATTTACTGACAAATATATTCGAGTTTCTTTCTTCTGTTGAACACAAAAAACCTATTGCACCTATTGACTACCACAGTCATTTATTTTTCCTACTATGGAGATATACAGTTGAAGTCAGAATTATTATCCATCCTGAATTATTAGCCCCCTGTATATTTTTTCCCCTAATTTATGTTTAACTAAGAGAACACATTTCTAAACATCAGTGGCGGATTTAGGCTTGGGCAATATGGGCGATCACCCACAGAGGCATCTTGCTAGGGAGACCAAAAAAGAAAAAAGTGCCCCAGTAAAAGCTTTGAGATAAGATTTACTTTATGCAAGTGTATTGAGTGGTTATCCAAGAATAAAGATGTAAGGGGCCATTCACAATTCAATTCACAACTCAAGTTTGTTATTCTTTATGTGCAACCGAAAAAACAACGCTGGTTAAAACCTTTCATTCATTTTCTTGTCGGCTTAGTCCCTTTATTAATCCGGGGTCGCCACAGCAGAATGAACCGCCAACATATCCAGCAAGTTTTTACACAGTGGATGCCCTTTCAGCCGCAACGCATCTCTGGGAAACATCCACATTCACACACACACTCATACACTATGGACAATTTAGCTTACCCATTTCACCTGTACCGCATGTGTTTGGACTATGGGGGAAACCGGAGCACCCGGAGGAAACCCACGCGAAGGCAGGGAGAACATGCAAACTCCACACAGAAACGCCAACTGAGCCGAGGTTCGAACCAGCGACCCAACAACCTTCTTGCTGTGAGGCGACAGCACTACCTACTGCGCCACTGCCTCGCCCTGGTTAAAACCAAGGGCGTAGAATTGGCATGGACGGATAGGGTGTGTCCCCAACGATATCCACCAATTACTGAAATGTCCCTTTACCAATAATTTATTCAGTAATTAAATAATGCTCCGTCAACCCTTAGTAACGTACACGTGCACAAAGTCAAGTTCGCTACGAGTTCACCATAATACTATTAACCAAGGCTGCGCAATTAATCGAAATTCAGTTTCGGTTTTGGCCTCCATGATTATGAGAAAGAATTATCAAGATAAAGTTGCGTCACACACGTCTCTAAATTTCTCTACATTCACACCTCCTTAAAGGCCGGCTGCAGTAAAGTCATGTTAATTGACTAATGTAAATTTGCAGCATGGGAAGGGGTTTGGTCTTTGTATTATTAAGTGTTTATTTTAAATTATGAATACTTTATTCGTGTTTTTTAAAAGCGCGAAACAGAATGTGTGCTGTTCAATGCAGCTCTAGGGATGTATATTTGAAGTCAGAATTATTAGCCCCCCTGAATTATTAGACCGCTTGTTTATTTTTTCTCCAATTTCTGTTTAATAGAGAGCAGATTTTTTCAACACATTTCTAAACATAGTAGTTTTAATAACTCATTTCTAATAACTGATTTATTTTATCTTTGCCATGATGACAGCAAATAATATTTGACTAAATATTTTTCAAGACACTTCTATACAGCTTAAAGTGACATTTTAAGGTAATTAGGCAAGCTATTGTATAATCATGGTTTGTTTTGTAGATTATCGAGAAAAAATATAGCTTAAAGGGGCTAATAATTTTCTCCATAAAATGGTGTTAAATTGTTTTAACTGCTTTTATTCTAGCCGAAATAAAACAAATATGACTTTTTCCAGAAGAAAAAATATTATCAGACATACTGTGAAAATTTCCTTGCTCTGTTAAACATCATTTGGTAATTATTTAAAAAAGAAACAAAAATTCGAAGGGGGCTAATAATTAAGAGTTCAACTGTATGTCTCCACCAATGTCAAGAGCAAATCTACGCCCTTGGTTAAATCAAATTGACCCATGTGCACAGAAAGCCATTCCCATGATCCTCACATGCGGTGTTCCTAATCTTGGTAGTTTACATGCACGCTGATATGCATCGACATGCAAGTCGACAAAACTAAAGTTTACATCATATGATGATAATGTTACTTTGACCAAGCAGGGCTATGAAGCAGAAAGAGGGAATATTGAGTCAAGGAGGAAACTAAGACTTCATAACATTATTTCTTGATCATGAGTCGGGTCTAAGACAACAGATAATTTTAGAAAACATATATATTTGGGATTATATAAAACTGTCATTATGCAAAAGTCTTAGAATATTGCTACAGTTGTGTCTTTACATTGTTTTTCAGTTACATTTAATGTATTTAGTCGGTCATTAAATTAACTCGGGTTTCTTTTCACTTTTTCAAACAGCACAACAAACTCCGGTCAAAAGACTGTGTTGCTCTGTCTTTCTTTCTTTCACTTTCCTAAGTCCTAATATAACTTAAACAGTCCATTAAAGGTGGAGAAAACCGTTACAAACAAAAGAGTAGGGGTGAAATCAACAAACGTACACAAATAATAAACGTGTAAACTGTACATAAAATAGAGCACAATAATAAATATATTAAATCACATTATGGCTCTTACATTTAGGATTGATTTCTGTAATTTTTCAGAATATATAATAATAATAATAATAAATAAATAAATTGTTAAATATATATATAAATATATATAATATATATTATTAAAATAAATAAATATATAATAATTATTTTAAATGTAGATATTTAAAAATATATATTTAAATATGTTAAATTATTATTATTATTATAACCTTTATTTTACCAGGAAAGATAAATATATATATATAAATTCAACCACATAGTGTCTTTATTTCTAGGGGGATGTTTAAGGTGGTTTTGCCCAGGAGGTCATTGAAACTAGAACCGCCACTGCTAAACATAATAGATTTAATGATTCATTTATAAGAACTGATTTGTATTATCTTTGCCATGATGACAGCACATAATACTTGACTAGATATTTTTCAAGATACTAGTATTATTGCTTAAGAGCGATAATAATGTTGACCTTAAAATGGCTGCAAAAAAAATTAAAAACTGCTTTTATTCTGGCCAAAATAAAACAAATAAAACCTTATCCAGAAGAAAAAATATTATAGGAAATACTGTGAACAATTCCTTGCTCTGTTAAACATCAAATGGGAAAATTTTGTAAAAGAAAAATCACAGGAGGGCTAATCATTTTGACTTCAACTGTATGTGTGCCAGCAACCAACATTCTTCAAAATATCTTCTTTTGTGTTCAACAAAAAAAAGACCCCTTATAAATGAGAACATGGACATTTCTAGGTGAACTATCCCTTTAAAACAGATAATGCACATGTCATATATATAAAACAGCTTAAAATATCCATATACACAATCAACAATACATGTAACAAGAACAAAAGCGCAATGCATGTATTGTAAAATTATACATGAAACATAAAGATGGCTTTCAGTCATGTTTAAAATATTTTCACTGACAAAAAAATGCATCAGACAATATTAAATATCATGCAAGGTGAAAGGAGCCACATATTCAGGACATCAGAACACAAATAATGATAAATAATAAATAAATAAACATCCAGGGTTGAAAATGAGAGTCCTGCCCCAGCCTCTAGCCTTATAGACTGTAGCCTGCTGCTACTTCTCTGCATTTGAAGCTCTACTTGTTTAGATGTTTGTCCAGTCTCATGCATCATGACTCTCATGTGATTGCAGACTTGGGCCTTTGAGCAGCAATTACACCACTGTTCCTGTGATGCACAGTTTCCAGCCTTCGACTCAATCCATGCTGACACGCTCTGCAAAAGTCCCATTGCAGTGGAGCCTGGAGTGGATATATTTGGCCTCTTTGTAATTCTAATGCGACTGATTAGCATGCACAAAACGCTTTCTTGACTCTTTGCATTTCCTGGCACAAAGAAAGTTGCCAAGACGACTAAGAACTTTTTGTTTTGTTTCAAATTTCATGACTTGCAGATTTTAACCTACTTTTCCGGCCGTGTCTAATTCAGACGATACTCTAATGCATTCAGGTGATTCTCATTCAGTTTGGGCTATTTTAATATGTTGAGAAATGAAACTTCTTCAATGCACGTTTGATGATCTCTGTTGAAACATTTATCACATGTAAAAAGGATCTGATTTAACCTTCGACAACATTCAGCAAAATATTTAGTTATGTCCCCTTCATTCATTCATTTTCCTGCAGATTAGTCCCTGATTATCAAGGACTGCCACAGTGGAATGAACCACCGGCTATTATTCCGGCATATGTTTTACGCAGAGGATGCCCTTCCAGCCGCAACCCAGTACTGGGAAACACCCATACACATTCACATTCACACACACACTCATACATTACGACCAATTTTGTTTACCCAATTCACCTATAGCGCATGTGTTTGAACTGTGGGGCAAACCGGAGCACCTGGAAGAAACCCACGCCAATACAGGGAAAACATGCAAACTCCACACAGAAATGCCAACTGGCCCAGCCAGGACTTGAACCAGTGACCTTTTTACTTTGAGGCGACAGTGCTAACCACTGAGCAACTGTGCCACCTCTATATGGAGTCATTCCAGAGCCAATCACACTGCGGCAATGTGTGACAACAGCCAATCAGTGTGCATTATTACTTTAATCTACCTGCTAAAGCCAGATGCTGTTGACAGAAAAATTGAGTGCACTATTTTTATTTTAAGTACAATTTTATTTACCATTATGGACTCTTAAAGACATACTTTGTTTTTCTGGAATAAAAAATTATGTTATATATATATTAGTAAGTTGTCTTAATTTTAAGCCCTAACGTGTAATCCCTTGTTGTTAATTAATAAATTATACTCTAAAATCAGTGATTAATTACATCCTATATATATATATATATATATATATATATATATATATATATATATATATATATATATATATATATATATATATATATATATATATATATATATATATATATATATATATATATATATATATATATATATATATATATATATATATATATATATATATATATATATATATATATATATATATATATATATATATATATATATATATATATATATATA